TAATACAATCAAGACCCTATCCCAGACCAGAAAACAAGGCATGAAGGTGATTCATTACTAGAGCTCTACTCCTTCTGAGGTGAGGGGAAGGGACTGGAGACAGGGGTTGCATCAGAAAGACAAATATTGCTGCATGCTCTCCAGTGAGGTCCTCCTCCTTAAAAAACCCAAACCAGGGGAATGGCGTATGTAGTTCATGGTGCCTCAGTTGGGGAGTGCAGCCCCACAGGGACCTACTGGGAAATTGCAGGGATATTTGGACTGTTGCTAATCAAAGTTTCAAGCTGGGTTTGGGAAGAGAACAATGTGGAGTGCAGTTCTCCAGCTTTCCTTTAATCATTTGTAGTCCCTTCCTGGAGCGCTTGTGAATAGGAGGAAAGTTGTACTCCTAAGTGTGCCTGTACAATCACAGAATCACAGAATATTCTGAGTTGGAAAGGACCCACAAGGATCATCGAGTCCAACTCTAAAGTGAATGGCCCATAGAGTGGTTTAATTTTTCTGGGCTTCAGGAAGGGAATGTCAATCAATGTAAATGTAGGGAGGAATTTAGTTATAGTGAACATGGCCTACTGTTCTGCCTGCAGCTGCCAGACATTGTTTAATGTACAGAATAACACAATTATTATGAATATACAGCCTGCTCAGTGGAGCTGTAACAGTGGCAATCATTTACAAAGACAACTCTTACTTCTCTGTGGCTTTCTCAGCTGTAAATCTCATAACCTGCTCAAGGAAAGACTCAGTTAAAAATCTTATAAGACAACCACTAATCCTCTCCACAAATGTGGAGAGTTACATGTCCTCCACATAACAATTTATCAAGACCTGATTCTGTTGGGGGCTGAGGGAAATGTATGATGCTGTTACTGAAGTCAGTGGGAGAAATGATCTGACAGAGGCTCAGTTTTGGCAGATGGATATGGTAGATATAACATTTCTAAAGCGCCCACTTTCAATTCATCACATATTGCACTTTTAATCATAAATGATCTGCGAATAAGGAGGCAGCAATATCCTTTTTTGTTCTCCAGATGACACAAAATGACTGAATCTTTTAAATACAAAACTAATTCTAGACCATTACAAAAATTTCCATTTAAATCCCACTCTCTTAGCAAGGAAAAGAAAGAATTCTCCTCTTATTTCCAACTCACTATTCCTTCCCTACACTCATGGTTCTTCAACATCACCAAATTTCCGAACCCATCCCACCACCCTGGCACAGGGCAAGCAGGGCAGACCCAGCTGGATCCAACTGAGATTCCAGATCACCAGCACAATTCATAGTGACTAAGCAAACCTGTGGTCAAGCTGGAAAGTCAACCTATGGGTCAGGATCAGCCCTGGTGGGTGTAACCAGCATCAGACACAGCCCAGTGATGGCTGGTGAGATCCATGGTGGTGAGGTCAAGTTGGGAAGTCACCTCATGGGTCAAGGGCTCGATCAACAGCTCCATGGGCAAACTCAGGCAAGGCTGTGGCTGAGCTGGAGCTGGATGCTCAAACAGCAGCTCAGGCAGGCCCCTCTCCAGGGGTTTATACTTTTGCATAACTATTTGCCAGTTTTACTGCACAAATTTGTCCACGTGAATTCACCAAGACAAAGATCTAATTCTCTTTCAGGTACATAAGCTATCACAGAAATGTGACAATGTGGCTGTGAAGGCAGGGATGGAAGTCTTGAGTCTAACAGCCCTCTTGAAGCAAGACTGTCACAATATCAGATTAGGTGAGCCATGGCTTTGTCTAGGTAAGCCTTGGAAATCTCCAATGATGGAGATCACCTAGCCTGTCTAGGTCACCTATTGCAGGCTGGATGACCCTCCTGATGAAATGTTTCCCTAATGTCTGGTGGAAACCTTCCAGCGTTCCAAGCCACCATTCATGGCCACTGCCTCTTGGTGTATCATCTGGTGCGAGCAGGGAAAAAAGGCTCTGTCACCTCGGCAGCCACCCTGCAGGCAGTCACACATTCTGACTAGATTTTGCATCCTTTTTGGCCCCTTTTACTCTAAGGTCACATTATCTGGACTCCTGACCATCCTGGAAGCTGTCTGCAGGACCCCAATCTGGGTCTCCCACGCACTTGTCCACTGGTGACCCATGACAGAAACAAAAGTTGCAGGTACATCAAAAACCAAAAACAGTGGAAATAGTAACTCCCTGCAATGTGTTGGTCACACTTCTCCTTACGGACTCCAGGGCATTCTTGGACATATTCAGAGGTCAGGTGAGGGATTCCCTCTTGTCCTGTCACTCCATACTCTCATCCAAAATCCATCTCCAGCTCTCTTGGAGCCTCTTTTAGGTACTGAAAGGGGCCCCAAATCACTCCCCTAGCACCCGCAAAATGCTTCCCTTGTTCCCAAATTGCAGGCAAAGAGCCCCTTAGTTTGCTGCAGGGGGCCTCAAAAATTTCCTCCCTGGTACCTCAAACTACCACAACGGGCCTTGAATTGTAGCTGCAGAGCCCCACGTTTCCTTGGTGGACTCCAAATTGCATCTCCAGTACCCCAACACGCCCCACTGAGCCCTGCATTGCAGCTGTGCGGCCTCAAAGGGTCTCTGGTGGACCCCCTTGGCACAGAATGATGGAATCACGAGGGAACACTCAGCCCTGAGTGGGCTGCAGAGGATCCCAGAGCTCCCTGGGAAGTGCTGGGGCTCCAGAGCTTGAAGCTGGAAATGAGTGAAGAGCTTTCTTTTACACTCGTGGCGTGGAAAGCCCTGGCGGGGTGCTTTCTGCTGGGGGGCCTGTGGGGCACTGAAGGCCTCAGGAGGCTTTGTGTGTGATCATGAGGAAGCTTTTCTTGATGGAAATGGTTGTCAGGCATTGGAAGGGGCTGTCCGGAGAGGCGGTGGAATCCCCATCCCTGGAGGTATCCAAGACAAGACTGGACATGGCACTCCCTCAGTGCTCTGCTCTAGTGGACGAGGTGGGGATGGGTGCAGGCTTGCACTCGATGATCTTGCAGGTCTTTTCCAACCTAAATGGTCCTGTGATTGTATGATCTGCCCTGAAGACAGCTGCAGGGCAGGTGGAGGAGTCCTGTGGTGGGACTGAGGCCAAGAGGCCCCTCGTGGCTGCAGGAAGAGCAAACCGTGGGCTTTTGTGTCCATCGAGGGCCAAGACAGGGCTCGTGAGGCTCCAAGGAAGGGTGCGAGGAGGGGGATGGAGGGGTACTGTGGGGACCAGGGGACAAACTGTGGCTTCTGGAGCACATCAAAAGGTGCCTTAGGGTGCTGAGGGGGCAAATGGCCCAGGCTGAGGCAGCCGCAGCACAAGAGAGGGTTCAGAGAGGACTTGTGGGTCTGAGGAGAGCTCTCCGCCTGGAGGGCCCGGAAGGGAAAATGAACAAGTCCTGAGGGGATGGGATGGAAATTCAAAGTGGGGGGACTCTTTGCCAAGATAGCCTTGCCCACGTCTTTCCTGGACTGCCAGTTGTCCCCACTGGCTGTCCCCAGGTAGCGCGGACGCCCACACCAGCCCCCCAGGGCAGAGCAGGGCTCTGAAGGTGCCTGAGCGAGGTCACACTGGGCAGTGGCTCTAGGGCACCTCTGGGGCTGTCAGAGAGGGGCTGTTCCAGGGCCCTTTGGGCTTCTGGGGGCTTCTTTGCTCTGATTCCCTAGAAGAGACACAGACCTGAGGCAAGAGCAGCAGGACTACAGCTCCTGGCCCCTCAGATGGACCAGTGTGGCCGCTCAGCTGGGCTGTGCCAGAAGACAACAGCTCCCGGCATGCTGAGGAGCCTGGCCCTCCGAGCTGGGTCCCCCGGGTGCCATCCTCCCCCCTTCAGCCCCAAGCCCCCTCCCAGGACTCCACCAGCCTGGCAGGGCCACTCAGCCACCCCTGGGGCAGCTCGGGGTGCCGCACAGGGGCCTGGGGTGCGGCGAAGGCCTTGGCAGGGGTCCTGAGCAACCCAGCACTAGAAGAGTTGTTGAGTGGGGAAAAGCTCTGGCTGGTCGGTGGGAGAAAGAGAGGAGGCGACAAAAGCCACGGTTTCTGTTAGGCTTGAGCGAATGTTATGCATTTAATGCGACTGAAGGGCACAGAGGCCAGGCTCTGCAGTACGGGGACAGGAAAGGGGTGTCCTGGGGGCACACAGGGGTGTCTGAACTTGGGGCTCTTCGGGACGTCCCGAGGAGACACGAGAGCAAAGTGGGGCCTGGAGACAGACACCCTGAGGGCAGCTGGGTGCCCAGGGCTGAGGCAGGCCTGTGTCCCCAGGGACACCCTGCCTGTTCCTGCCTGCGTGGTGGCTCCCTGGGACCCGTTGCCGGGGGCAGGTGCCGTGTCAACAAGCACTGGGACCTGTTGCTAGTGGCAGGTGGCGGATAACACCGGGACAAGCTGAGCCCTTGCTGGGTCTTTCCCTGGGAGAAGATGCTTTTGCTAAAGGAGAATCTGCTGCCCGAGCCTTCTCGCGACATTTCAGTTCAGGGTCACTGCCAATGTAACCCTGCCCTCTGCCGATGTGAAGCTGTTTATGTGTTTATAATCAGCGGTACAAGCAGTGAAGGGCAGGAGAACCCTGGATTTTCTGTAGTTCCCGGGATATGCACAGTGTACCCAGCGCCACGCGGCTCTGGACTTGGCTCAAGTTTGAGTGCAAGCATTTTCCAATCCCCAATAAAAATCGGGATTGATAAATCACAGAATGGCTTGTGTTGGAGGAGACCTTAAAGCTCATGTCGTTCCATGCCGCTACCATGGGCAGGGACACCTTCCACTAGACCAGGGTTGGACACTAGACTGGGACTTGGACACTTCCAGGGATGCGGCAGCCACAATTTCTCCGGGTACCCTGTGCCAGGGCCTCCCCACCCTCACAGTACAGACGTGCTGACGGTCCGGCCCAGGCGGCCGCGCTGCTGTCGGGCTGCAGCGCGAACGGGGACCGGGACCGGGATCGGGGCAAGGATCGGGGCAAGGATCGGGGCCGGGATCGTGGCTGGGGCCGGGGCCAGGACCGGGATCGCTGCCGGCGGGCAGGGCGGATCCGCCCCTCTGGCCTTGCCCCCCGTCCCCGCTCCGGCCATGGCGGCGCGGCTGTGGCGGCTCTGCAACCTCCTCATGGCCGCCTTCTTCGGGCTGGCGGCCGCCGTGCAGGTGAGGCCGGGGTCGCCCGGGCTGGGGGCGGCTCCGATCCCGGCCCCTCCGATCCCCTCCGTCGCCCCCGTCCCTCCCGCGGGGCGCGGCCCCGGCCGGGCCGGCGGCGGAGGCTCAGCGCGCTCCTCCTGCCGCAGGTGAACGACCCCGACGCGGGGCTGTGGACGGTGAGTCTGGGCCGCCCTTCCCCTTCCTCTGCCCCCGAGCTGGGGTCGCCGCAGGAAACCCGCTCACGGCTTCCAGCTGGAGAGCGAGCAGGCTCCGGAAAAACGATTTCTCTACTGCAGCGACGGCTGGAATCAGGCCATGCTTCCGGGATCTGCCATATTTCACCCCAGATCTGCACCTGGCCCTACACAGCATCGGTTCCCCGTGCGGAGCACCCCGAGCCGGCCCATCGCCGGCACCCCGAGTGACCCATCGCCCTGCACTCGCCTTGAGTCAGCCCCGGGACGCTCCCGCCGCTCAGCTCGGCCTGGGGGGCAATGGGGACAGACCCCCTGCTCTGCCCGCCCTGTCTCGGGCACAGGAGCGGCCCGTGGCCCCGGCGCAGTGCGCCGGGCTGGGGGCGAGGGGCACCGTCTGTTTGTGTGACAGGAGCTGTTGGGTGGGCAGGGGCTGCCCCTGCGTGTCTCCGGCGGTGGAGCCCCGCTGACAGCGGCACCGAAGGGTGGGCAAAGCCCCCCATACAGGGTGGGAGGACCCTGTCAGAGCTTTTCCTGGGATATCAGGATTGAGGGAAGGGGCCCTGCAGTGACTGATCAGGCAGCCAGCATTTGGTAACTCAGGAGCTAAGGAACAAGTCTGGCACTCGGCTGATGGCCCGAGATTTTGGGTGGTGATGATGAAGAGGAGCACTAACAGTGCCCGAGGGAGAGGCACTGGGAGTTGCTCTGTGCCTCTGACAAGCCGCTGTGAAGGGGAGAAGTATTGCTGTGGGCAGGCTCTTCTGCTTCCTGACCTTGCTCAGTTTTGCTACAGAGTATACTTATATGTCATTAACAGGTTGTGTACTTAGTGCCAGCTGCCCTGACACTGCTTGTCAGCATCAACCCTTCAATAACAGGTATGATACTGGTGTGCAAAACAGAGTCTCTGTTCAGATTTTGCCCCAAAATGGTTGTTTGTTTGTTTGTTTGTTTGTTTTTTATTGATCCACAGATTAAAATCAGACCATGTGGGAACATGTCCTACTATCTTTTGAAGGCAAAAGGTTATGGGACCCGCTTTTACAAAAGCTGGTCATTGGTTTAGTGCTGGTGGCTAGATGTGCTGCAGGTGAAGAGAGGAGCCCTGCAGAAAAGTCCACAGCTGGGATGGCCTGCCTTTGCACCCCAGTTCAGAAGCCTGGGAGCTTACTCTGAACCTGGCTCTGGTATTGACCTTAGCACATTAATTCACTTTATTTCCTTGTTATAAATCTGTGGTTTTGCTTATCTACCTCATGCAAGAGCAGCTGAGCTCAGCACAGTCCTGTGAAAGCACTAAAAGTCTTGTTCAGTGCCAGGTATTGCAGCTGCCCCACAGCGCACGCAGGGAGCAATGGCAATGTTCAAAGGCTGGGGTCAAAATTTCCGAGGGTGGATGCTACAGGGGCTAATGCCACTTCACATGTTCAGAGAATCAGTCAGATCAGGAAGGATATTGAGGGGCTGGAGCGGGTCCAGAGAAGAGCAATGAGGCTGGGGAAGGGTGTGGAGCACAAGTCCTGTGAGGAGAGGCTGAGGGAGCTGGGGCTGTTTAGCTTGGAGAAGAGGAGGCTCAGGGGAGACCTTCTCACTCTCTACAACTCCCTGACAGGAGGTTGTAGCCAAGTGGGCATCAATCTCTTCTCCCAGGCGACCAGCAGTAGGACAAGAGGGCACCATCTTAAGCTGTGCCAGGGGAAGTTTAGGTTGGACATTAGGAAGAAAATTTTACAGAGAGAGTAATCAGACCTTGGAATGGGCTGCCCAGGGAGGTGGTGGAGTCACAACCCCTAGAGGTGTTTAAGATGAGACTGGATGTGGCATGAGTGCCACCACCATGGCGGTGTTGGATCAAGTGATCTCTGAGGTCTTTTCCAACCCAGTTGATTCTATGATTCTATGGCCAGATTTGTTTCTGGACTCCAGAACGTAGTTAATATTTTTTTGTATTTTCATTCAGTAGAAATAATTTCATAATAAGGCCATTTTATATACACAAAGTGACTGTATGTGTTCTGGATGAATACTTGTTTTGAATAGACTAAAATTGCATTTAACACCAAAAAAGAAAACCTTCAGGAGTGCATGCTGTTGTCACAAATGACACCATTGCAGGCATTCGCTGCCTTAGGCATATAAAGTGGAAGCATCCATAAAGCAAAATCCCTGAGGGTTGGTTTGCTTGTGGTTTTGAACATTTCAGGGGAGGTTTATTATGTGTGATAGGTGTAGCTTCAACATAATGGCATTTGGCTTGTCAAGAGAATCTGCATGTTAAGCTCTCAAGTAGAGTTTTACCTGTGCCAAGATCTGTAGAAAATAAAGATTGTCATGACACAACTATTTTATAACTGGAGATTTATGTAAATACATCAAGGGATATTTGCCATTCAGGTCTGTGGAAGACCCAGATTCTGCCTGTGCTGAGCTGCAGTAAGTTCAGTCAAATGGGGAATTGATTACAGCGTTGGGTCACTCTGAGCTCTTGGGTCTTGGCAGCTCATCACCTTTAATGCTTGCCCAGAGGGGTCAATTCCCCAGAAAACCTGCTTTTAACTTTAGTTTTTTTGCTGTTGACATTGCTGAGATCAGGGAGAACCCTCAGTGTCATTTCTTACCTCCCCCTCAGGAGCCCCTGGAAAGGGACATGGAAAACCACAAGAACCTGTGGGCCATTCAGATATTTCTCATCATCTCTATTTATCTGTTTAAAAACATCAGTCCCCAGGCAGAGATGTTATCAGTGTTGCTCATCATCATCAGGCAACACCTGAGGCAGAGTCTCCTCAGGGAGTGTGAAGTCAGATGCTCCCCACAGTGGTGGCTGCCTAGGGGCTAGGCCTCTCCTGGGCTCCCTTGGGCCCCTGGGGTCGTGCTGAGCACCTGGTTTGGGCTGTGAGCTCCAGAAAGGCTGTTCCTCCTGCTCAGGAGAACTTCCATTTGCCATACACCTTGTGATTTTTTTTTTTCCATGCACATTAAATGCTGCAGCCTGTTGTGTTTGCTGCAGAGAACAGGAAAGTTTTCACTGAGGTTCTGATGCCGAGAAGTTGTATTCCTAGGCCCAGTAGTATTTATTTTTCACAGCACTTTTTAGCAGATTTCCCTGGTCATAAAGATACTGGCAATAATGACATCTTCCTGCCTAAGGTGTGTGTGTTGAAGGCACCTTTTTTTAGCTACTCAATTGCTTTTAGATTTATAGGTTTACTTCATGCTTCATGGTAGTTGCTGACAGTGTATTCTTTTCCTCAGATAATGGTGTTTGGAGGACCCTGTGTGACTTTCATTCTGCTGGCTGTGTGGTTGGGACCATTGCCTTGGCTTACTCTTTGTTTGCTTACGCTCAAGGAAACATTTTTCACGAAGAGGAAGGCAGGTAAACAGTGGGTTTTCTTTGCCCCTGCCCAAATCCAGCTCACCAGGCCATCTTATCCTGGTGTCACCTTCCAAAACTTTATTTGCTGGGCTGTTGCAGTGAGTGCTGTTGGTCCAGAGGAATCAGATCAAAGGGACCATAATGCTCCAAACCAGTGATTCCTTGGACTCAGGGAGAGTGAGCAGTCATTGCTTGCCTGATTGTGGCAGGTAGATTTATGGGGGGGCAGTTCTGGCTTTCAAAGTCCAGAACACAAGAACAGTGAAACAGCTTTGCACTCTCTTGCTGGAGCTGCAGGAATGGTAATTAACCTTACAAAAACTCTTGAGGTGATACCATATGCATGTTTATCTGGCATGGGCTGCTGAGTCCTCCAAACTGCCAGAGATTGAGGAGGAGGGAGGATTTCTCACCTGACATTTGGGTGTTGCCTAAAGTAGGTGCTTGTACTGTATTGAGGTGAAGCCCTGGCAGCTGTTCATGGTCTAGAAAACTGGGTTGCTGTTTGCACTGTGTTAATTAGAGAAATGTGCTGTGGAACTTAAGTCTAGCAGTGGAGCAAAAAGTGGAGGCAGGAATTTCTGCAGCTGTTTAGCCAGGTCATGTCTGTAGATTTGTGATGCAAAGTTACTCCTTATAAATACCTTTATAATTATAATGCTAGTAAAATATACTGAACTTCTCCAAAGGAGCAGCTGCTACTCCACTTGTTTTGGAGGTAAAATTTGTATTCTCTGAACACAGACATCTGCTTGTATTATTTTCTGATCTATTTTTCATTTGGCTTTTTAGAGAGTTGTTTGGTCTGGTAATTATTACAATATGGATGAGTCTTTGTCGCAGTTCAGCAAAGTAAGTTTTATTTTCTCCTTTTTTAAAATCCATTGCTATGTTCACACTTAGTGACTAGGTCCTTGAAAACACATAGTTGATTTTGGCAGCTTGTTTTTCTGTTTCATGTCACCCTCTGAACCTTTCAGATGTCCAAGCAGTAGCAGCTGGTGCTACAGTCTGGAGGATCTCACACAGATAGAAGTCAGGGCAGGAGGAAATGTAAGGCTACATGGAACATTTTTTTCTGCTCCCCTGCCATAATGGGGACACTTTCTCTTTGTATAAGATGCTTTTTTTTTATTCCAACTTGGTTTTGTAGCCTGAGTTGTCAGAAAATTATTTTCTGCTGGCACATGGTGCCTCTCCAGTAAAGGATTCTGCTGATGCATCCACAGGAGCCACATTAAAGTGGCTAAAGGGTTCCTGCTGTCTTTCCAGCTGCAGGCAGATGTGAATGTTTCATAGCAGTTGTAGCAGTGGCCACAAAGGCCAAGGACATCCTGGCTTGTACCAGCCATAGTGTGGCAGCAGAACCAGGGCAGTGCTTGTCCCTGTGCTGGCACTGCTGAGGCACCTCCAATCCTGAGGGCAGTTCTGGGCCCCTCAGACAAGACATTGAGGGGCTGGAGTGTGTCCAGAGAAAGGAACAGAGCTGGGGAAGGGTCTGGAGCACAAAGAGGAGCTGGGGGGGCTCAGCCTAGGGAAAAGGAGGCTCAGGGGGGACCTTCTTGCTCTTTGCAACTCCCTGACAGGAGGGGGGAGCCGGGGGAGATTCAGACTCTGCTCCCAGGGAACAAGGGACAGGACAAGAGGAAATGACTTCAAGTTGCACCAGAGGAAGTTCAGGTTGGATATTAGGAAAAATTCCTTCTCTGGAAGAGTGGTCAGGCATTGGATGGGGCTGCCCAGGTGGTGGAGTCATCATTCCTGGAAGTGTTCAAAAAACGACTGGCACTTCACGATAGGGTTTAGTGGGCGTGGTGGTATGTGGTACAAGGTTGGACTTGATGATCTTGGAGGTCTTTTTCAACCTTAACAATTCTGATTTGATGTAGCTCTGTTGCACTTGTTCCTTTATAGGAATCCTCTGGGAGGAGTTTGCTTGGCTGCTGCAGTCGTGGTTGCCCTCTTCCCCTTTGCTTCATGGCTGTACATTTATGTGAACAAAGAGCTGCGAGCAGCTTGGCCAGAGCACTGCAAAACAGTGATTTAACTGGGTAGGAGAAACTAAACATTCTGATTTTACTTGCCTTTGCTTTTGGTGATTAATGAAAGATTAGTGTCAGTTTGATAGGATACAAGAATGCCTGGCTACTTCTAGCAGTACCATTTGAGTTTCGGTAAAAAGTTGAGGAACACTGTCAAATCTGAATGGGGAATTTTTCTGTGGAAACTGTTGTTCAACTGGCTGCTTCCTACATTTTCAAAGCACTGTTGATCTAATGTGTTCTAATGGTATATATCCTGGCATCCCTGGATCACTCTCTAACCACCTCGTACTTTGGGAAATCTACTGTTCTGTAACATAAGGGACAAGTAAAGCAAACACTGTTTCAATACATGATTATTTACAGCCATAGAACTTCCAAATACCTGCCTGGATAATCCATTTGAGACTAACCTGGAATTGAGCAGTCTGTATTTCTATTCCTGTGCTAAAATGATATATAGAATATATTTGAAAAATTATTTTTGCTATTAACTGAAAATCACGAGTTTTGCAGAGTAATAAACACTATTTTTCTAAAGAAAACTCAACAAAAGTCTCCATATAGTTTATTTTTTGGGAGATGTGTACTTGAGCCCGCCACCAGCAGATGTGGGCTCCGTCACAACTCTGCTGGCACTGTCACAGCTCTGCTGCTCACTGGCTTTTTCCTGGAAAGCAGCCCAGCAGCAGTAAGCATGTCCCGCTGCTCATCCTGGAGAAGGAAGCACAGGTGGATACACTGGACATATGAGCTGGGTGGGACAGAGCCAGCACAGGTCCAGGTGCAGCACAGCAACACCTTTAGACTCATGTCAGGGCTCCTTCCCTCAACACTGCTGCAGGAGGTCACAGCTGTGCACACACAGGTCCCTGCCCATGTATCTGCACCATTCCCTGCTCTAGCACAGATGGTTTCCCTTCTCTTTAGGCTTAGCCTTTTCTGGGGATTACTTTAGTCTTTTAAAGCAATGTTGGAAAGCTGCATTAGGCTACAGGGTGGGTGTATTCAGCCAGACATGAGACATTACTGCCTTATGATGTTCACAGAAAATAAATACGTTGAAATGCGGCTGGGCAGGTACAACTCTGCATGCTTTAATGCTCACCGAGAGAATAACAGTGGGTGGTTTTTTGAAAATATTCATAATATGGTTTGCATCTTTTCACAGTAACAAATTCAGTCTGGATTAGGTGTTTCAAGTCAACATTCTGCATTCAATATTTCAATTACTGGCCTTCTCTATTTTCCACAAAGAAATCAGGTCTGTTTCCTTACAGAAAGGTAATTTCTAAAATCCTATATCCTGAACTAGAGCAATAAGGATCAGCCATGCACCTTTCTACAAGCAAACAGTAAGCTGAATCCCCTACGTTTTTATCCCGAGTCCTTCCCGAAGAGCAATCTGTATTTACTTGGCATTTCAGAACTGCATAACTCTGTCTGCAATTCTGCCCCTTCCCTTTAGTATCATTTTATCTTCGTAGACATAAATAGTCCCAAAAGCATTGCTTTCCGGGGGCGTTTCGATCACCCCCTCCAAGGTCAGGTGATGAACTCCATGGGAGTCCAGGCAATATCCCCCATCGTGCAGGTGCCCCGCAAGGACACAGACCACGCACCGGTGGGAGTGGATGACAGACAGGGCAGCTTCGTAATTCCAGGCCAGGCACACCCTGTCTGAAGCATCGGGGTGAATGGGCAGGTGACCTGCAGTTGAGAGGGAAAAAACCAGGAGAGTTAAACTGTAACAAAGTCTGTCTCATTGCTGTGAAGCTCAGCCAACCATGTGCAGAAAGCTCCCCCCAGTATGGACATGGTCTGTCCTGCTCCTTCACAGGTTACATGTGTATCTCAGGGGAGCTACAAAGCTGCTACATGTTTTCCTCAACTCACATACACCAGCTGTTCCCGGTATATATCCCCGGGAATATATACCCACTTCAAATATAGGGGTTGAAACTAGATGATCTTTAAGGGCCCTTCCAACCTAAACAATTCTGTGATTGTATGATATATTCCCCATATCCACCTACCCATAACTACAACTTTTTCTTGGTTTTCATCAGAGAACTTGAGGACTTCATCGAACCAGTTCAGCTGGGCTTGGCTAAATCCTCCATTAAATGCTACAAACTGAGGTTCTTTGAGCCCTACAATGAAGAAGAAGGTTAGGCACAGGTGCATACACCTCCCACAGCTCCTCTATTTGCCTTATGTAAATCTGCTTACAATAGATGGTTTACTCTCATAACTTGCGGGGTTTTTTTTTGCTTTTCTTGGATCAAAACTCCAGCATCCTTGGACAAACGAGAAGTGTTTTGTTAGTGTTTTCAGGGGGTTTGGTCACACTGCACGCACAGCGTTTCCGCTCTTGGTGTCCCCCCTAGTATGGGATGCGGTGGGCACAAGTCGGTGCTCTGCAACAGCCCCTTCACCAACAGCTACCCCGTGTTCTGATACTGTGGGGCACAGAGCACAACACAGACCCTTCCCACGGGTAAGGGGGAGCATCTCCCGTGCCCGCCTAGGGCCGCACCGACCGCAGGGAGGAGGAGGAGGTTGGCAGCCCTGGGGCACACGCCCGAGCCCCGCTGCCAGCCCCGGGAGCTGCTCCGCTGCTCCGCCCGCGCTCCTGCCGTGCCGGGTGTACCTGCGGGGCTGTTGAGGTCCTCGTTGGTGTTTTTCTCCCGCAGCAGCCGCAGGGACTCCTCGTAGCGGGGGCTGTCGGGGTCCCTGCCCAGGACGCTCAGATCGTAGGCGTCGAGCACGACGAGGCGGAGCCGCGCGGCCGGGCTGCAGTGATAGGCCTGGCACAGCCCGTCCGGGGGCCCGGCCGCGCCCCCCGCGGGGCGGCTGCACAGCCCGCTCTGCGCCAGCCGGGCCCGGCTGAAGTTGTAGAACTCGTGGTTGCCCCACGCGTGGTGCACTGGCACCGGCAGCCGCCCCAGGGCCTCCAGCACCTGCCGCAGGGCGCCCTCGGCCTCGTCGCGCCGGGCGTTCAGCCCGTCGATGCTGTCGCCCAGCTGCAGCACGAAGTCGATCGGCGGGCTCTCGGCGGCCCAGGCCCGCACCGCGTCTCGCAGCAGGCGCAGGCTGTGCCGGTAGTAGCGCCGTCGGCTGCCGCCGAAGTCGTGCCCATCGTCGGCGTCCGCGAACTGGATGTCGGCGATGACCCCGAAGGCGACGCGCGGCACCGCCTCCATGGCGGCCGCGGGCCGGGCGGAAGGGGCGGTGCGGGCGGCGCGGAATGGCGGGGCCGATGGCGCTGTGGCGGCTCGGCGGGGCCGTGCGGCGGGGCCGGGCCGCGCTGGGGCCGCTGCCGGGCCCGGCCGGGCGGGTCCAGACGGGGCTGCCCGCGCCCCGCAGCCGCCCGTTCTCGCAGCTGCCGCCGGGCAGCGGCCGCCAGGCGGGCGGGCAGAGGCGGGTGAGTAAGGGAGGGAGGGCCGTGAGCAGGGGGCGCGGGCCGGCCCTGCCCCGCCGCGCTCACTGAACCCCTGTCCCCGCAGCTCGTGTCGTGGCGGTCGCTGGCGGCCACCGCCGTGCTGGGCGGGGGGCTGCTGGTCGGCATGAAGGCGGTGAAGCGGCGCAAGGAGCAGGGTGAGTGCGAGCGATGGAGGAGCAGCGGCGGGGCCGCGTCTCGTATTCAGACGATGTATTTTTTGTACTCAGGCGATGTATTTTTTGTATTTAGGTGTATTTTATCCGCTCAGGCATCGCTCGGTATCACAGCTTTGCAGAGGGTCACTCCGTGCCTGTGTGTACGGAAGTGCCGTGGAAAATTTTCAAAAATTAAAAGCAAAATTCAGCGTTTGAAAGTTCTGAGGTTAGAATAGTTGTGTTTGGCTGCATGCGCTGTGCCAGGCGATGCAGCTCAGACGGGGAGCTGGGTGTTGTGGGCACACTGGGTTCCCTCTGTGAGGCACATGAGCTTTGCCCTCTCCTACAGGAAATGCCCATACCTTTCCTTTTCATGGATTTACTGTTGAAAACGGAGATATTACAGCTCTTAGGGTATGTTCAGCTTGCAAAGGATGCTGTTTTTTCCTATTTCCCACCAGGCCAAGTGGGAAATCGCCTTTCTCTCTTTATCCCCCCTTTCTTTTTAAACAAAAATGCAATCAGATAACAATAAAGAAAGATATTCTGTTTCAGAGGAATTTAGTGATATATTTGATTTTGTCCAAAAGGAATGCTTTTTGGAAGCCATGTGCACATTGGGTTCCACGTGACATGTGTTGGTGGATCTTGACCTGGCAATGCCCTGCCCATGACCCAGTGTGGTGCCTGACTTGGCTGCTTCCAGGGTCACCGGGGAAGCAGCAGGGATTGTGACATGGATGTGTTTGATCTCCTCTTGTGTTTTGTAGAGCTAGAGAAGGAACGAAACCGAAGCATTGGGAAGCCACTGCTGGGAGGGCCCTTCTCGCTCGTGAGCCACGAGGGGCAGCCCAGAACCAGCAAGGACTACATGGGCCAGTGGGTGCTGATCTACTTTGGCTTCACTCACTGCCCTGACGTCTGTCCCGATGAACTGGAGAAAATGATTGCAGTGGTAGATGAAATTGGTATGAGAATTCAGGGGATTCAGTGGGTGTAGAGGTCCTGTTTATGGGAGGGTCGGGTTTGTTCTAATGAAATGTCACAAATGGTGATAACTGATGATCTTCTTTAAAAAATGCTGTTGGCTGCTATTCAGTAGTTGAATTAATTGCTAAATGATCCATAGATCAATCTGCCTGTCACTAGGGTCTAACATGACAGCACTGGTCTTTCCATAACAGGAGACTTGGGAATAAAACATGGTGGTGGCAGATCACAGGGAATGCACTGCATTATATTTTTGCCAAGAAGTGACTGTGAGGTGTGTTAGGATTTTTTTCCCTCTATTTTATTCATCCTGAGAACAAATCTGTGTGAGGGTCTCTCCTGAAGCAGAACGGCTGTGCTGTGGAATGGAGGGAGGGGGAAGGCCGTGTGTTATGAGTTTCTCAGCCTGCAGGCCCTGAAGAATTATGGGGCAGGGATAGTGGTAAACCCAGCCAAGTGGGAAAACAGACTAAAGAGAAGGAAATACAACCAAGGCTTTGGCTGGAACATGAGGGAAAGAGCCTGAATTGTGTCTTCACATTTCCTCCTGTTCCCCCATCCCAGCATGCTTCCCTTGTGTGTGCCACTGTGCTTCCAAATGTGCATCACACCACCACGTCTTCTGCAGCACAACCAGTCTGTCATCCCTCCTGAGCAGGGCAGGGGCTCGGGGGCGGGGGAGCTGGAAGCTCCCAGCACAGACACAGAGCATTGCATCTCATAGCATTTGAATCATTCACAAATTAGATAGATTAAGCTGCACAAAATGGCCTTTTTAGTTTCTTAGGGTGGGCTTGGCCTGATGTTACTTGGCTGTGAGTTTGTTTGAAGGGAGATGAAAAATGATTTCTGGTTTTGTAAAATAAACAATAATTGTTAATGTCACAGAACAAATTCCATCTTTGCCTAATCTGACCCCACTCTTCATCACCGTCGATCCTGAGAGGGACAACCAAGAAGCCATTGCCAAATATGTTAAAGGTATTACTGCTTTCTTTCTCTGTGTCTCATAGCATGTAATACAGAGCACTGGAAAGGAGCCTCTTGAAGGGATTCTTTTCACTAAAATGTGTACGTCTTGTTTCTATCTAGAATTTTCTCCAAAGCTGGTCGGGTTGACTGGTACCAGGGCACAGATTGACCAAGTGGCTAAAGCTTATCGTGTGTACTACAGCGAGGGCCCCAAGGATGAGGACAACGACTACATAGTAAGTAAGAGTAGGGCCTTTGCCTACTGAAAGGCTGTGGATAAGAGCAGCATATAGATTTTAAAACCAGCTGTTGGATCTGTGCTGAAGTTCCAGGTGACAGACCCCTTGTTGCACTGATCTGTTAAGCTGTTTGTCTCAGTCAGAACCAAAGTGTCCTCTTACAAGCTCAGAACCTCACTGAAGCGTGTTCAAAACGTGTCCCAGCCCAGGCCTGCAGACAGTACCACAGGAACCAGTAAGGCTGGCAGTTAGTTCAATGTAATGTGTTTGACTGGCTGCCTTCCTGTGTGCTCCAAAGAGAAAATGGAACTGGGAAATTGAGGTGTCTTAGTTTAACAAGATTACAACTTAGAAATTAAGAAACTTCAGGTGGAAGTGTGGAAAAGGAAAAGAACAGCTTTTTATTAACAAAATCTGAATAAACAACAAATGATGGAATCAAAAACTTTCAGAAGAAACAAAACAAAGTCCCAATTTTCTTGGGAGGGGGAGAAACCTGCAGCAACCCAGGGAAGGAAGGGGGAAACTGAAGGCAAAATGTCCTGGGAGCAGAAACAGATGGGTGGGGGGAAACGGGACCCTAGGAAAAAGTTCCGACATCTCTTTTCAAACCTATCACATAAGGAAATAGGAAGTAGGAGAAATGAGAAGTAAAAGTGAGTAAGAACTCATTCTCTGCCAAACTGACACCAAGGAATGGAGTCTTCCTGGCAAGAGACTTGGATATCTCCCTGCAAATACTGTGAGCATCTTCTTCCTGTGACAAACAACCTGCAAGAGAGAGCATGTTCATTAATGTTAAATGAAGTGGGAATAAAATACATAAGTAACAGTGTGAAGGAAGAAAATGAGGTTTAAGTGAGGCTGAACTGAATAGTCAAACTTCCACTTCTCTGGAAGGGACAGGACTGGTTATAGGGCTCTGAGCTGCTGCCAAGACCTTCCTGTCTTGCCGAATTCTGAGCAAGCTGGAAGAGTAAAGCAGGTACAGGTGATAGGAAGAGTGAGGTTACATCTTACATGATCTGCCTTGTTTTTTTCTTCATTACAAGAACTGAGGACATCAGAAGAAACTAAAAACAGGTTCAAAAGGAAAGGTAATGATTCTCATTGCAGTGGGCACATGAGGAGTGGAATCCCTTGGTACAGGTGCAAATGGTGGAAGTCCACAGGGAGACTTGTTCTTAGTCTTTGGAAAAAACAATCTTTTGAGGGTTATGACACGCACAGAAATCTTGTGTAGTTCAGGAAGTCTGTGAGATGACAGTGTTTGGAAACTGGGAGGTAATAGAGGAAGTTAACATGGTTTTGGTGCTGATTTTATACTCTTTCTTTAAAGCAACTGTTGTTGGCCACTGTTTGGGGTGGGATGCTGAGGCAAATTGAATTTGTTCTAATTCAGTATTGTTGATTCTTAATCTGTCTTAAAACTACCTGACTCCCGCAAAAAAATTATCCAAAAAGATTGGGGGAGCAAAAAAAAAGTGGTGCATGGAAAGAAGGAGCAAGAGCAACACATGATCTCAGTGAAGAGAAGATGAAATCACTGGTGATGTCCACTGCTCTGCATCACTGAGGTGGGAGATCAGTAACTTGTTTTCACTTGAAATGGCAACTGGAAAGATACAGAAGCCTGTGACTAAGATAGTGTATTTGAATGGAGAAATTGAATGCCAATTTAAATCAATATGAAATCAATCTAAAGATACTGCCTAATATCAGACTTTTAGAAGGGGGCTTGTGAGAATGCAACAACAGGTTATAGGAACAGGATTGGCAAAGGATGCTTGCTCAGGAGAGGGAAAGAACTCCATAGAACCTGACACTAAATAAGTGAACTGAAGTTGAGGAGAGCTGATGGAAAGAGACCAGCAAAGCTGAATGAGTGCTGGTGCTTAGCAAGTGAACTACATGTGGATTCTGTTGAAGCACACCTGGATCCTGGCATGGCCATGAAGGGACAATACGGGGGTTCAGCCAAGAAGAGTAACTCCATGGATGACAGCAGCTTGGAGGGAGGCTGGAGGGTGACATTGGGCATAGGGGAAGGGATTCAGGATCCAGGAGGACCACTGCTCTGTGTTAGGGCTGTGAGTCTGAGGGGAGGGAAGGGCAGCAAGGAAGAAAGGCCAGTGAATTGGAAGTAGGAGAGCAGCCTAGGAGCCCCAGATGTGGTGCCAGGGAGGAAGAGTATATCTACATCTCCTGAGGATTCTTCATAGGCTCTTGGGTTTTGGCTCTGCATGCTCAGGGCAGGGGACGCAGGACTCAGGAACAGAGTGCAAACAGGATAGCGGCAACAGCAGGCCTGGGAGGGAGAGCTGGAGGCTGGTCTTGTGCCTACCTGAGACAGATCCAGGTAATTTATACTCTGTCAGTTCTTCCAGTAAGGTTTTTTCCTCCTTATGTCTTGCC